GGATACTGTAGGAAAGCTCTTAGAGAGGATCATCCTCAACAGGCTGACGAAATGCACGGAGAGTGAACACGGATTGTCGGAGAGACAGTTTGGATTCCGGAAAGGGAGATCGACGGTGGATGCAATTCGGACAGTGATTGACAGAGCCGAGAAAGCTTCCAAACAGAAGCGGAGAGGAAATCGATACTGCGCCGTGATTACGATCGATGTCAAGAATGCATTCAATAGCGCCAGCTGGGAGGCCATCGCCAAGGCGCTCCATAGAATGAGGGTTCCGGGCTACCTCTGCAGGATTCTAAGTAGTTATTTCCAGAACCGGGTCCTTGTCTACGTGACAGACACGGGGCAGAAATCGCTTAGAATCACGGCGGGGGTTCCCCAAGGCTCCATTCTAGGTCCCACGCTGTGGAACGGAATGTACAATGGCGTGCTGACGCTCAAGCTGCCCAAAGGAGTTGAGATCGTTGGCTTTGCGGACGATTTCGTCTTGACGGTAACCGGTGAGACGCTGGAAGAAGTGGAAATGTTGGCGGCTGAGGCGATAGATACGATTGGTAACTGGATGCAAGGAGCGAAGCTGCAGATAGCCCACCACAAAACAGAAGTGATGTTGGTCAGTAACTGCAAAGCAGTGCAGCGGGCAGAAATTACCGTTGGAGAGCACACCATTGCTTCGAAGCGCATGCTTAAGTATCTGGGAGTGATGATCGACGACCGGCTAAACTTTAATAGCCACATCGAATATGCTTGCGAGAAGGCGACGAAGGTCATCAACGCAATAGCCAGAATCATGCCGAACAATTCTGGTCCAAGCAGCAGCAAGAGACGTCTTCTGGCTAGTGTTTCCTCATCAATACTAAGGTACGGAGGTCCAGCCTGGATTGAAGCGCTGAAAACGAAGCAGAACCAAAGGAAATTGAGCAGTACGTTCCGGCTCATGGCCATGCGAGTCGTGAGTGCGTACAGAACCATTTCGATGGAGGCAGTATGCGTTATCGCCGGTATGATCCCAATCGGCATCACCTTGGCGGAGGACTACGAGTGCTATATGACGAGAGAAACCAGAGGAGTACGAAAAATGGTGAGAACGGAGTCGATGGCTAAGTGGCAGCAGGAGTGGGATGCAGCAGAGAACGGTAGATGGACACACAGGCTAATACCGACTCTTTCGACCTGGGTGAACAGGAAGCATGGAGAAGCCAACTTCCACTTGACGCAGTTCCTGTCTGGTCATGGCTGCTTCAGGAAGTACCTGCATCGGTTCGGACACACAACGTCACCCTTCTGTCCGGAGTGTGGGAATGTGGAAGAATCACCAGAGCACGTGGTTTTCGAATGTCCTAGATTTGATGATGTGCGAGAGGATATGCTCGCCCTTAGCACGGAGAATGTCGTCGAAGAAATGTGTCGAGAGGAGGGCACCTTTAACGCCGTCAGCAGAGCAGTAACGCAGATCATGTCAGCGCTGCAGCGAAAATGGCGGGAAGACCAACTAGAAAGTAGTAATGTGCTCACACAAGTGCGAACTGAAAGCCGAAGCCGGGAGAACTCTCCATCAGAGTAGGCTGTATCCACCACCAGGGATAACCGAGTAGAACGTGACGCTGGGAGATAAATGGCTCACAAATTGGAGAGACGATCAGCGAACTGGAAGCGCCAATTAGCTGAGGTAAAGTGAGGTGCGTAATGCACGGCCCCCTCCGAAGTAATACGACAAGTGGTTCCGGGGGAAAAGGGCAAGGCGTCTAAGGAGGTTTTAGTGCGGTAAGAATCCCACACACCGTGTCACCGCGACTGTGCGCCCAGTCGTCAAGCGGTGGCACGATGGCCTTTTTAAAGGTTTCCTCCTTGCCAAAAAAAAAAAAAAAAAAAAACACACACACACAGACATGTTCCGATCTCGTCGAGCTGAGTCGAATGGTATATGACACTCGGCCCTCCGGGCCTCGGATCGATAGTCGGTTTTACAAGTGATATCTATACCCTTCTTTGTAAGAAGGGTAAAAATGGTACAGGAATCGAAAGCTCCCAATTAATCACTGAGAAAGTGCATCTAGAAGTTGAGAGCACGCAATAAGCTAAAATGCGATAAGCATTAAGCTTGAAATGCGAAGAAGAAGAAGAAGAAGAAGAATAAGAAGAAGAAGAAAAATATGTCGATCTCAGAGTACCTAAATTTTCATGAATTTTTCGAACATGTTATCATGGTGGTTGAATAAACAGCCAACATAACAAATATTATAACGAAAGAATACTCCTTGGATATCACAAAAAAAAAACTGTGTTAGTTGTCATTGAAAACATCTTGATAACAAATCCTGTGATCCATTCGAACTTTTTCAGCAATTTCAAATTATTTGATCGATTTGGTATAACAGCGTTGGGCTGATAAATGAAATGTGTTTTTATTTCTTACCATGCGAATAATTTTGGAAGTTTTGAACTGACCTTGTATCATTTCATTTTCTCTCATGATAACATTTGATAACAAAATTAGTCGAGGTTGACAACTAAATTAGTTATGTGTTAACAAGTGAAAACAACATGATATCTGGAATAACAAAACATGTTTTCAGGATGACATCAGGTTGTTATTTTACCTTGCTCGGGTACCCGTTACAACCACACCCAAATTAAGAAAGGAACCAATACCAACATGCATTGCAAATTAGAAAAATTGGAAGTATTGAAATTTTCACCATATGCGTAAATACAATATTATTGTATAATTGTAATAATTCTACTACTGAAATGACAACTTCAAAGGCGAGATTCCAAGTTCAGGGAAGGTCTGCCGAAGGACAAGGAAATCCTAATGAAGCTCAGGGCAGTCTTGCCGTAGTTCAGGAAAGGTCTGCAGAACTTCAAGGAAGTCCTGACGAAGTTCAGGGAAGTCCTGCCATTAAAATTCTTAGATGTTGGTTTATTTTCACAATGGTTTCACAATTTGGTTTAAAAAATAATTTATTTAGCAATGGCAAAGGTGGGTGATTTCTTAAATAGTTCAATTCACCAAAATATTTTTAAGAATATCCAAAACAAAATAATAAAAAAAAACTACAAGGGACAGCCCAATGGGGTTGTACGCAATGGTGACGTAGTACTACGTGGTCTTATATAATAAATCTTATTTGTTAACTGCAGCAGGAGCTTGTGTAGAAATATGAATTTGAGTGGGGTTTCCTCTGTTTATACTCTTTAGAATGACGCGCTTGACATAGATGGCCCACAACGACTTACGATGAGCTACTGATTCCGGTCAATAGCGGTGCGGCTTCTTCCTCCTTTTATGGATGCTCATATGGGGTGCAGCTCGCTGCATACAGGTAGCCTTTCGTTGTGTACTGGAGAACACCGCCACTCACCACGCGGTGTTGAATAAACACCGTTTGGTGAGACCAGATGGAATTCATTTTTGAAATCTGTGTTAGGAAAATTGCTTTTCGCAGGCATTCAGTGATGATTTTAATGATCATAGCAACAGTTGCACATTCGTCCAATTTTAAATAGTGACATTTTGAAAAATGATAAAATCTTAAATTTAGCAGATGCGTAGAAATATATCTGATCGATTGGTCAAAAAATAATTGAAATTGGTCCAGGGGCGGCTGAGTTATTAACGTTCAAAATCTTTCATAATTTTGTTACATGTTCCATTTTTGGTTTTCACAAAGTGTACCCCCATATAGATATCACAGACGTAGTCCTACGTCAAAATATTCAACTATCGTTATTTTTCGCAGAATATTTTGAATTGAAATACCAAAAGATATCTAACAATGTTCATCAATTATTGCAAACGTAAAACGTCACGCGCAAGCTCGATCATGCTCTCGGTGCTGATGGTTTTTCTTGCTAATTTATGCATGGATCACCCCATCGTGTGGCTTTTCATTTCGCTTCTCTGTTTTGTGCGAGCATTCCCAATCACTTTGTTCTTCCACTTGGAGACTACTTATGCACAGATGCATGCAAAAGCCAGTTGATTGCTTAGGAAAACAAAATCTAATGCTTAGGGTTGCGTTACAAAAAAAAAAAAGATATTGTATTCAGAGGAAATGATCCTGAAAATATTTTGAAACTATCGACGGAAGTCAAATACGACAATTCGTACTAAATACTTGTGTAATTTATGAGCAAAGTTAGCGACAAGTATGATTTTGATCCTAAAATTGAACGTAAAAAATAATTTTCAGAAAACTTAATTAATAAATCAATCTTGTAAAAAGATAGTCATTTAAGTTTTTTTTTTTTTAATTTTTCACAGTTTTTTTCGATTGAGCTTTGCGTTATTTTGTAAAAAAAATCGATGTAGTGAGTCATTCTGAACCAATTCTCTTTCACCAAGCTTTAACTTGCAGAATCAGAATAGTTGAGACATTATTGTTATTTTTTTTTAAATTGTAATCGTTGAACGAAAAATTACACTGAAAATTGAGCAAAATCGTACAAATAAGCTGTACTACGAAATGATTTTTTATTTTAGTTGGTGTGTATCATCTTTTAGACGAGCTAAAATCAAAAAAAAAAATTAATTAATCCTGGGTTTCAAGTTATATAGGCAGTATAAAAATTGATATATGAATACATTGCTTACTATTTTTTCATGATGCTTATAAGTAGAGCTTAAAACTTGCCAAAGGAAGTGTAGTGTAGTCAGATAATAAAGTTGTGACTGAAAGTGTGTGTCCGTTTTATAATCGGAACAGTCCTTAATTGCGACTATTCGCATAACAGAATGTTATGCGAATAGCGGCAACTAAGCGCAGAAACTATTTCCATAGATTCATTCACCTGATGACTAAAGCCAAACATCATTTCTCCCGAATCCACATTTAACAAACTCAAATTTATCGACCAAAGCAATACCGGACACATCACTCAACCGGTGAGCAGTTCTGATGATGATGACCATGCACATTCGTGCTGACAGACAACACTATGACAACAACCCATCATCCACAATCAGCCCGGACAGTCGGGAAGGTAAATGCACTCACCGGATACGCCGTTCGGCTCTGCCAGGAGAACTGCATATCGTCGTTGCCGGTCTTCATCGGAACCATGAAGCTGAGGGCGTAGTCGCTAATGACACCATTCCGAACGTAGAACAGATCTGCCTTGAGGCCTGCAAAAAAAAACGTGGAAAAAAATGCAACGATGAAAAATAAAAATGAATATTTTAGTCCAAGAGTCGTCGTCATCGTCGTCGTTGGTGCTGCCTAGGAGCATTCACGAGAGAAATACATTAAAAACAAATTTATCATGATAAAGTTGGGTGACGGGGTAAAATGGAAAATATTTTCAGTGGGCTGGGTGCTGGCGGCGTCTGTTCCTTCTTCCCACCGCCGGTTTTTTTTTTTTTTTTCGGGGCTGTTGCTGGCTCACTGAACTTTTGCTAGCCGCACGCCCATGTGGAACGGGTTGTATGCAGAATCATGACGACGGGAGAGGGAGAAGGCCAAAGCGCGAAAGTTCAAAAGTAGACACGTTGTCAGCAAATATTTTCTCATTAGTTTTGAAGTTGGCCTATTCATTGGAACCGACGGACTCCGGCAGCCGGACTGGGGTTAAGTTTTCAAGTGAATGTTTTCGATGAGGGCCAGAAAGTTTTTCCATCCGGAAGAGAAAGAACAACAACAAAGCGGCAAGTTATGGGCTCAACTCGAAAGCTTTTGACAGTTATTGTTTGTTTTTTCCTTAGGTTTTCCTTTGGGAATGAGATACGCTTATGGATCATAATAGCAGGAATGTTCAAGACTGTTTTGTTCGCATCGTATTCTTCGCATTCAGTTGCAATGGGAAATTAGAATCATTAAAAGAGAGCTTTGAAATTTTGAGATATTTATTCAACTATGTAAATCGTTAACTTCACGCAGAAGTAATACAAACAAATAGTTAAAGTACAATATACTATTTTTATTCACTTCCGAATCCCGGGATGGTGGAAACCAGCGGAAAATAGAAGCTCTACAACCAGGTACTGTACTTGATCAAGTCATACGAGGTGGACAGTCCACTGTCTAATGGCTGTGCCCTGCAACAATGAGTGGTATGCTTTACATACATACATACATACAAATATACATTGGATGCTTTCAGGAACATCTTTAAACATAGGAAAAGAACTTTTTGATTTAGAGAAAAGGGATATTTAAAACTGTCCGACTCTATTTCCTGTATCTCAGTAAGTAGGAGATTAGAAGTAAAATGCCCGTAGTGGGAAAAATGCGCCCCCCCCCCTTCTATCTCCGCTAGTTAATATGATTTCGAAAAATTGTTGCCATACGTTAAATCTTAAACGTACTGGGAAAAGAATGAAATGTCGGCCTAAATGCCGCTAATTTGAGCCCATACATAAATTCAGCAATTGATTAAATTTTCAATAGCGACCAAAAATATCCATTACTACCGTCTGAATACTACTTGCAGTCTTTATCAGCGCCAAGTGGTGTTGAGTACTTGGCACTAATGAAGTCTGCAAGTAGTAGACGAAATACGCGTATCTGCCAAAAGATAAGCAATTATAACGGAATTTAAAGGAAATAAACCAACACACTCTTTATAGATAAAATTGATAAATAGCAGATATTTGGCGATGGGCCCAATCTTAGATCCATAGGCCAACATTAGAGCCATTTCCCCTATATGAATGGAAGCAAACCAATTTTAGTAGAAAGTTCCTCCGGTTACTATGGGGTGTGATATATGACGGCGAGTCCATTCCAGTGCTGGAATTCTCACCAAAATATCATTTTCGCTTGCGATACGTTTTCTCCTGGGAACTTTCCCTCACTAGTTTCACACTCCAATATTTCCTGAGCGAACTTTCTGGGATGAGAGAATGAGATATCGCGAACTTTTTTAACTCGAATCACCAACGTGAGGATACGAAAAATATCAGATCATTTTTTCTCTCTATCTCTTTACACCACATTCGTTCTTGAAAATTGCACTGCACATTTCACAAGGGAAAGATTATAGACAGAAAGCTATCCCGAGTAAATCAATACAATCTCTAAAGACTGATAAGTCTGGTACCTGGCTGTCTACTGGCGCCTGTTGTTTAAAGTAGCCGTTATCAGGATGATGTGAACAGTTTTGTGCAACTGATTGATTGGTGCATTGGTTTCTGGCAAAAAAATGAATGAATCAGCACAAGTGTCAACGCGACATTAACGAGGAACGGGGAGGGTAGTGTAAGATTTTGTGACTAGCAATTTTTATATTAAAACCGTTCCTCAGGATAGGGGGTTGCGGAAGGAGGAGTGCCTAATGTATCCTCATTTTCACGAAATACAGTTAATGCATGGCTCCTCTCATCACTAGTGTTCGTAATACCGTTCCTGTAAGCTCTTATGCAATAATTATATGCAGGAGGATGGTTGGGAATATAGGTGGTGGTGAACTTTTTCACTGTGCTATTGCTATTACTGTCCTCTCCCATGACTGAGAATCCTGTAAAACAATGTAAAACTAGAAAGGGTCTAGACCCTCCCTATGTAAAACCATAAGGTATGCGGGACTGCTGCACTGCTGAACTTCAAAACGCTTTATTTGCTGACCAAGGATCTGACCAAAACATCTTTTTAGTGTGCAATTTAGGATGATAAAAAATTTAAACAGGTTATTCAATGTCCATTAAAACTGTAAAAAATATAGGCAGAAAAAAAAGAAAACAAAAAATTATTACCAGTTGGCTGGAAATGAACACAAAATTAATCAAAGTACCATGTACCTTGAGCTTTTGATATAGTGATAGATTGAGAACGATCTAAATTTTCCATCCACAAGTATTGCAAGACTTGAAATTAACAGACAATATCAAAATACTTTCAACTTGCGAAGTGATAGATTCCCAAGTGAATACACCTGCTGAATAAAAATTATCAAGTAAACTATTTTTTTAGAATCGATTTTTAATAGATTTTTTTTGCAGTTTGAGATCCATGAAAAAAGGTACAGTAGCTTTATGGCACCAGTGACCAGCAAATTTAATATTTTCATTCAAGGTTGTGTGGAAATTCAAGCTACCGGGCGAGCTACTGGGTTACATTGCTGTCCTCTACCTAATGCAGTCGAGTGATCAAATCAGAAAGTTAGCAGATTAGAAATCAATTAATAACTAATTTCCTCAACGTTAAATTAAAAAGTGGTCTTTAGAAAAAAAATGTAGCTGAGAAAATTTCCTATGAGTACACAAGGCAAATTTATTGGTAGATCATTATGGCGAAATTTAAAGACGAGGTGAACAAAATAATCACTTTTCCCATAGTAATACAATAAATTGGCAAAATTTAATAAGTATTGAAGGAAATGTCGATACTGAAGTAGAAAAATTTCACTCAATTCTTCAAAGCCTAATTTTAGAAACTGTACCATCAAAAAAAAGAAGACGAACACAAAACAATAAACTACCCGCATGGTTCAATCCACAACTGAAAAATTTAAAGAATAAAAAACAGAAAGCTCATAAACTATACAAAAAAGAAAAAACTGAAACCAATTTGCGAAACTATCACAACTTATGCAACCAATTAAGTACAGCCATCAACTCTGCATATGAGGACTATAACCGCAAAGTCGAAAATGAAGTCAAATCATGTCCTAAGAACTTTTTTAATTATGTAAACACGAAATTAAAAAGCAGCAATTTTCCTTCGCGAATGAATTTGGATGCAAATGTAGGTGAGAATTCTTCTGAAATTTGCAATCTCTTTGCAAATTTCTTCCAAGAAGTATACACCACATTTTCCGAAGAAGATCGTGACCGCGATTTCTTTGCATTCATTCCTGAAATTTCTAAAAACATCTCTGTCAACCAACTTTCTCAACATGAAGTCCTCAATGCACTAAAAAACTTAAGCGCGTCGAAAGGGTCTGGACCTGACGGCATCGCACCCATATTTTTGAAAAACCTTTCTGAAGAACTCGCATTTCCTCTAGAGCGTCTTTTCAACATGTCTCTGAAAAATGGAAAATTCCCTGAAATTTGGAAATCATCTTATTTGGTACCTATTTTCAAATCAGGTGCAAAGTCAAACATTCGAAATTATCGTGGAATTGCTATTATTTCTTGCATTCCAAAACTTTTTGAATCAATCGTAAACGGCAATATTTTTCAGCAGGTGAAAAATCTAATTACAAGTAAACAGCACGGCTTTTTTAAAGGTCGCTCAACTACCTCTAATCTTCTAGAATATGTATCTTTCATTATTAAAGCGTTGGACAGTGGCAAGCACGTTGAAGCGCTATACACCGACTTCAGTAAAGCATTTGACCGCATCGACATACCATTATTAATCCTCAAATTGCAGAAAATAGGAATGGAGCCTGGACTTTTGAATTGGCTTCAATCATACCTAACACATCGTAAACAAATAGTTCGCTTTCAAAATAAACTTTCAGAACCAATTTCAGTCACCTCTGGGGTACCCCAGGGTTCTCATTTAGGCCCACTTCTTTTTATTTTGTACATAAACGACATTTCCTACATACTTAAAAAAATAAAATTGCTTGTATATGCAGACGACATGAAGCTCTTTATGGAAATAAGTAATTCTAGCGATGCAGAAGAATTCCAGAATGAAATCAATATATTCCACACCTGGTGTAGTAAAAGTCTACTTCAACTGAACGTAAAAAAATGTACTGCAATAGCATTTAGCAGAAAAATTGAAACACCGCATATTGAAATATCATTAGGCAACCAAATAGTAGAAAAAAGCAAAATTGTAAGAGATCTAGGTGTAATCCTAGACTCCAAACTAACTTTTATAGAACATTATAATACTATCATTAGTAAAGCAAACAGAATGCTAGGCTTCATCAAAAGGTTCAGTCATAATTTCGAAGACCCATACACTATTAAGCTTTTATATACCACATATGTAAGGCCAATTCTGGAATACTGCCACCTAGTATGGAATCCATACATTTCCATACACGAAGAACGCATAGAATCTGTCCAAAAACAATTCCTTTTATATGCTTTACGTAAATTGAATTGGACTGCATTTCCATTACCATCTTATGAAGCGCGCTGCATGCTCATCAATATACAAACACTTAAGGAGCGCCGCCAATTTGCAATGCTTTTCTTCATCAACGACATTATTTCAATGCGCA